TACTTGCTTTAAGTTTAGTTTGGTCTTCTTTTTCTAGTTTCTTAAAGTAGAAGATTAAACTATTGATTTGAGATCTTTTTTCTTTTTAGTTTAATAGAGGAGTTATCAGCTATAAATTTCCCTCGAAGCACTGCTTTGGCTGTATTTCATAAGTTTCAGTATGTTGTGTTTTTACTTAAACTCATCTCAAATTGTTTTCTAATTTCCTTTGTGATTTCTTCCTTGATCCATTGATTACTTAGGAGTATGTTATTTAATTTTCTTATACTTATGAATTTCCCAAATTTGTTTTCTTTGTTGATTTCTAATTGTATTCTACTGTGATCAGAGAAGATACTTTGGATGATTTTAATTTTTTTAATTATTACAGTTTGTTTTATGGCCTATCACATGATCTATTCTGGAGAATGTTCCATGTTCATTTGAAAAGAATATACAATCTGCCACTTGGGGGTTTGAAATCTCATTTACCATCTTCCCTTGGTTTCCTCTGTGGAAGCCAGGGTGAGAGTAGCAGAGGAGTTGTTATTGTAGCTTCTTTTTCTTCCCCTCCTGCATCCTGCCTTCTGGAGTGAGAGAATAAGCAAATAATGCCAAATCAACAACTTCTTCCTGATGCCCTTCCAGATTCCAAAAAACCCCAGGTATGCATGGCTTTACTATAACTAGCTGTAATTTCTCTTTCTAGACACATTATGACAATGAAATGTGTCTCTTCCCACAAGCAATGCAAAATGAGTGCTCTTGGCTCTTCCCCACTCTCAGTGGCTGCCTCAGGAACATTCCCACTCAAGAGTTGGTCAGTGCTTCTTTAATGAATATATTTGGTCCCAGGTCATTATATTGATGGGCTTCCCTGGTGGCTCAGATGGTAAAGAATCTGCCTACAATGCAGGAGACCCAGGTTTAATCCCTGGGTCAGGAAGATCCCCTGGAGAAGGGAATGGCAACCCACTCCAGTATTCTTGCCTGGAGGATTCCACAGAGGAGACTGGTGGGCTACAGTTCATGGGGTTGCAAAGAGTCACACATGACTGAGTGACTAATACTTTCACTTTTTCATCATTGATGGCAAGTCAAGGGAGGAATGATTTAGTGAGATTATAGTTTTTACCTGATAATAATAAACTCCCACCTGCCCTTCTAGCAAGGCCTACACCAGTGCCATTGAATTGGCCCTTCTACTCCTATTTTACCATATACTAGAAGTAAATAACCACATCCTCTTCTTTTTCTTTAAAATCTGTAAAAGATCCATTTGGCTATAACTAACAGAAAACCAACCCAACTCTACTTTGAGTAATTAAGAGTTTATTTTTCTCATGTAACAAGAAGTGCAAGGACAGAATCCTGGGGCTGATGCAGTTGATCAATGCTGTCAAGGACCCAGGCTCTTTCCTTTTCCCCATAGCATCCATAGCGGGTGTACTTCATCCTTATGCCTGCTGCCTCACGGTCACAAGATGGCTGCTGCACCTTAAGATCAAGTCTTGTCCTAGGGAGAAAGAAGGGGTAGGGTGCAGACACAAAAAGCCTACCAGCATATTACAAAGCTTTTCCAGAAGCCACACCTAGCAACTTCTGCTGATGTCTCATTATTTAAGTCCACATTACATATCACTGAAAGACTAAAAAATGGACAGAGAGAAAGGGGGAGGGGGCAGTGGCCAGGAAACCAACAGTGGCTGCCATACCACACCTTCCTTCATAGCTTTAGTAATTAGAAGTGGGGAGGATGACTTTAATCAGGCTGAACTTGGGGTACAGCATGCTGTTCAGTTCTCCCCCTGTCACACCTATTCTAATAAGAATCAACCTCCACTTCCTAAAATGTAAGCTCCCTGGCACCTTACATAGCAAAGTCCCTAACCACAACATGAATATAGAAATTTTTTCACCCACCTTCTGGTAAATTCAGCATCCAACTCATGCTCCTTTCTTTTGAATTAGCAAAAACATATTCTAAAGTACTCAGCAGTCATCTAATCATTCTAATCCCAAAGAAGGGCAATGCTAAAGAATGTTCAAACTACCATACAGTTTTTCTCATTTCATATGCTAGCAAGGTTATGCTCAAGCTAGGCTTCAACAGTATGTGAACCGAGAACTTCCAGATGTACAAGCTGGGTTTCAAAGATGCAGAGGAACCAGAGATCAAATTGTCAACACCTGTTGGATCACAGAAAAAGCAAGAGAATTCCAGAAAAACATCTGCTTCATTGACTATGCTAAAGCCTTTGACTGTGTGGATCACAACAAACTATGAGAAATTCTTCAAGAGATGGGAATACCAGACCCCTTACTTGTCTCCTGAGAAGCCTGTATGAGGTTCAAGAAACAACAAGTAGACCCTTACATGGAACAACAGACTGGTTCAGAATTGGGAAAGGAGTACAAGGCTGTATATTGTCACTCTGCTTATTTAACTTCTATGCAGAGTACATCATGAGAAATGCCAGGCTGGATGAATCACAAGCTAGAATCAAGATTGCTGGGAGAAATATCAACAACCTCAGATATGCAGATGATACCAACCTAATGGCAGAAAGTGAAGAGGAACTACAGAGCCTCTTGATGAGGGTGCAACAGGAGAGTGTAAAAGCTGGCTTGAAACTCAACATTCAAAAAACAAAGATCATGGTATCTGGTCCCTTCACTTCATGGCAAACAGAAGGGGAAAAAGTGAAAGCAGTGGCAGATTTTCTTTTCTTGGGCAAAATTACTGTGGATGGTGACTGCAGCTGTGAAATTAAAAGAGGCCTGCTCCTTGGAAGAAAAGTGATGACAAACCTAGACAGCACCTTAAAAAGGAAAGACATCACCTCACCAACAAAGGTCTATATAGTCAAAGCTACAGTTTTTTCTTTTGTCATGTACAGATGTGAGAGTTGGTCCATAAAGAAGGCTGAGCACCAGAGAATTGACGCTTTTGAATGATGGTGCTGGAGAAGACTGTTAAGAGTCCCTTGGACTGCAAGGAGATCAACCCTGAATATTCATCGGAAAGACTGTTGCTGAAGCTGAAGCTCCAATACTTTGGCCACCTGATGGGAAAAGCCGACTCACTGGGAAAGTCCCTGATGCTGGGAAAGACTGAAGGCAAAAGGAGAAGGGGGCGACAGAGGAAGAGATGGTTAGATAGCATCACCAACTAAATGGACATGAACTTGAGCCAACTCCAGGAAACAGCAGAGGACAGGAACCTGGCATGCTGCAGCCCATGGGGTCACAAAGTCAGACAGGACTTAGTGACTGCACAACAGCAACCCAGTCATTAAACACCGTTCAATTTGAGGACCCCAAAGGTTTTCTGAGACACCCCATGCCACTGCCTTTTCTCAACCTCAGACACCTGGTTTGTCAATTAACTATTTCCATCACAGGTACAATGCCTGTAGGAACAAGTCCACCCATGACCTGGGTAACATGTTCAAGCTTGGTTCCAGGACTTCAAATCATCACTGTCCAGAAAGAGGTTAGAAATTCAGAGTCAAAATAGGAGCCTTAACGTTCAATTTCCCTACCTCTCACTTTCTCAGAATGTTCCCGGGAAATGCAGATAAATTAATATCTTTACCATTCTAATAAGGGTATATTTGCCTGTCTTCTTCCAGAGCCTCTGTCAATCTCTCTGCAAATTAGTCCAGAAAATTTTAAAGCACCCTGTGAAATCCTTTCAAATCAATCTTTTCCCAGTCCTCTGATAGTTCTCACATCAGGAGTTATTTTTGAGAGATCTCATGTATTTTTACGTATCACTTCTCTAACATAATCTTAGCCATTGTCTCAAAAATCAATGGACTCAAATTCTAGGGGTCGTAATTTTTTTGTGTGCTGCATTCAGATTTTCTTAGTAATCCCAGGATATAATGGTTGTGAATTTGTCTCATAACCCTGAGGTGTAAGAAATGTCACACTGCCATAGTTTTAGCCCCCAGAGACTTGCCACAGTAGCAAGATATTTTGTTCTCCAAGGAGTCTTAGAAAGGTAACCAGTTGCTCCAGTTTTCCCAAAGCTGAAATGTCTTCTGGGACATAGGACTTTCAGTGCTAAAGATGGACAAACTGAAAAGTTGGTCATCCTAAATCTTGGACAAACATTAGTTTACAAACCTGCTTACTATATTATAAGCTCTAAGGAGACAAGGAACATGTCTAATGAATTTCTATATACCCATGCTTAGTGCTTGGGACATAATGGGCATTCAGCAAATTCTTAATAAACTAATTGACAAACAAATACATGAACTAGCATGAAAAAAAAGATTAAAGTAATGATAATAATCCAAACCCTGAGCCACATCAGAAGTTACTTGAAGGATTTCCCTGGTGGTTCAGTGGCTAAGACTCCACATTCCCAAAGCAGGGGGCCCAGGTTCAATCCCTGATCAGGGAACTAGTCCCACATGCTGCAACTAAAAAGCCTGCATACTGCACCAATATCTAAGATCCTGCATGCTGCAACTAAGACCTGGCGCAGTCAAATAAATAAATACTTTTTTTAAAAAAGAATTGAGAGTCTAGTAATAAGCCCTCACTTTTTACTTGCGCCAACTAAAATGGAGTGCCCTGCAATTTCCTAATATCCCTTCCAGCAAACATCCTTTCCAGGCTTAAAAAGGCCATGTCCTTGGACCAGGGGCAAATTCTCCCCATGCACACATATACTGTGAGTTCTATATCGTTTATTTCCAATTTGACGGACTTGAGAAGCATCAGGTAGACTTTCCAGACATTTTGGATCTGTTCTTCAGGAGCACAGTGCATCTCCAGATAATAAGCAAAATGTTTAGAAACCATGAACTTCTGCAGGCACCTACCACCTGCCTGGCTTACCAGACCCCCTCAGAGTTCTGTGCTGCACAAAATGATGGCGCTGCTTTAAAGTGTCTAGAACTAGTTGAGGGGAGGGAGAGTGAACAGGCCAGCGATTGGGACTAATCTTCCAAACATGTCAAAGACTGAAGATGAGCCTACGCTTTTGTATGTCTTTGTTTCAGAAAAGAGAATGGCTGCTATTGGCCAAAGGGGAGCCCCTGAACCGAGAAGACAAACTGAGAGAGCCCACTAGCACCTTCTACGTGATCCTGCCGTCTCCCTCTCCCACTCTGCTGGTGAAGGCAGTGGCCACTCGGGAACTGATGCTGCCCAGCCCTTTCCCCCTGCTACCTGAGGACATGCCTGCTGATAGCCTTAAGACTGTGGAGGCGAGTGAGCCCAGATCTCATGGGATAGAGGGGAGGGAAAAGAATGGAGTTCAAGAAAGGGATGAGGGAAATGAGTCAGCCCCAGAAGGAAAGGACCAGGGAGCAGAGGGAGAAGTGGTTCCAAGAGTATGGTAAGAGGAGCAGAGAAAGCAAGGAACTGAGGCAAGACGAAAGAAAGCACGCATTTGCGTGATGGTGTGTTCTCATGGGTCCTTCTCTGCAATCTCTGAATGCATGTGTGTGCCTGTTTGTACACGTCTATCTCTGAGAGAGGGAGGAAAAGGCAGCCGATATAGGCGCTGAGAATAGGAAAAGCTTTAAAATGAGACTATGATGCAAAGGAGGGAACAGCTCTAAAGGCCATTTTTCTCCTCCTCCTCTCATCTTGGATTTGGATTCTGGATTTCCTCTGCCGGCCTCACCAGTTGAGGGTGGGAGGGGGTGCTCACAGCACAGAGAACAGTTACCACACCCTTGCTGCTAGATTCCTGGCTTACGTGCCGAGAGGACAGAGCCTGGGATTGTGCTCTTGGCTTGGCAGCCACAGGGATGCGAGAGAGGTGGGCACGAGTGGCCGTGGCTCACTCAGCGTCTCACTTCAGGGCCAGTTGTTTCCTGGCACAGGATGTTGTGGCCGGAAAACCTGACTGCTCAGGAATGCGCTGCTCGCGTGTCCTCTGGTTGTGCTCGCCTCACAGGCGGAGAACTCAGTGTACTTGCTTTGCAGACTGAGCACCTCAGCCCCCAACTCACCCTCCCTCACAGCCTCACACACTGGATCCCTTGTAACCCTCATGGCACTCTGGCCCCTCTCAGAATCCTGTGACATGGTTCTTGGGGCCAGAATGTTCAGTGTCCCTAACCATTCAGTTGCTGCTACTTCTTGTACCCTTGCCTGACCCTTCACAAGCACTGAGACCTGGGGGCCAGAACACCCAAGAGGACACGCATCTATTTCACATCCTTCAGTGAAGCCCTGGGCCATCACCCCTCCTCAGCTTCTCACACTCAGGTCTCTGCCTGACATCTTGGGTTTTGTGACCTCGCGTTTTTAGTGAGGCACCCCTTCTCTCTTCTTCAGAGCATGCTTGATGACCTGGAACTAGAATCCACCTACAACCCCTTGCAAGTTTGGAGCCACCTGTACTCACACCTGAGCAGCACCTTTGCCAACCCTCACAGCCGGTTCCACCCAAGCTCCAAGAGCCGAGCTGTGAGAAAGGTACTTCCCTACTTCCCCTTTATGCCCAGAATGCCAAAGTCCTCTTCCCCTGTCCCCCATCCAAGGGAGATCCTCCCTGATCTCCTCTGGAAAAGAAGCGTTTCGCCCTAGACAAAGAACATTACAACCCCTACGCGGTACTGGGATTTTTTTTGCTTGGGCATTTACATAAAATATTTAGTTATCTTAATCGCGGTGTTTGGGTAATTCAGTAGTCATTTAACAGATCACTGTTCCACTGAGCAAACGGACTGCACTGTAACCACAACCACGGCCTCTGTTGAAAGAAGGTGGCATAAGAAATGCCCAAGGGAAGGGAAATTAGTATTTACCAAGCAACAGTAATTTGCCAGGTTTGATGACGTGTACTCTCACATATATTTTTCTCATTTAATCCTCACAGCATCCCTACAAGGTAAGTGTTATGCTCATTTTACAGATGAGGAAAGGGAGGCTGACCAAGCTTAGAAGCTTAGAGACATGGCCCCAGTGACAAGAGTTTTGAGAGAAGAGTAATGGGCGGGGGGTGGATTTATTTTTATGAAATCCATGTTCTATAGTATATGGGCTTCCTTTTGTGCTCTTATAAATCTTTTCCTTGTTTCTCAGTAACAAAGCCTGTAGAAAAAAACCTTTGTCTTACCTGAAGTTACAAGAGAAAGAGGTTTCCAAACTACAGTCAGTCTAGACATGGGGATAGAACCCACCGTGAGTTAGCTGGTAGGCAAGCAAACAGAGGAGGACACTCAGCCAGGAGACAGGCACTGTGGAGGCGAGAGCCCGGGGACTCCACTGCTCTGGGCCTTGAGGCTGTCACTCACGCGACCCAAGGAGTTAGGACTGGAGACCCGGCAGGGAATGGAATACGAAATCAGGACTTGTCTAGTCTTCACAGAAAGCTCTTCTTGCTTTCTTTGCAGGCTGAGCCTTTGCAAATAAATCGAGTGCGAGCCACAGTGGCCCCTCTGCCTATGACTCCAGCCCCTGGCAGAGCCTCCAAGATGCCAGCAGCCAGCAAAGCTTCCTCGGAAGTCTTCTTCCAGCCTTCTGTGGAAGAGGAGGAAGAAGAGGCAGATGAGGAGCATCCCTCAGGGCCCTAAGTCTCTGGCGCCGTAGCCCAACTGCCCTGCTAAAGCGCGTCCATGCCAAGGCTCCAGATCTGCCCCACAGTGGCTTTCTCTGGCGACTTGCCTTCTCTCCACCTGACCCTCTGTGAGCTCCAGGCGACTGGGAAACAGAGCCTCCCCTCCTCCGCCTTCAGTGCTTTCACCACCCCACTCCTCAGGCCATGAGGAGACACATCTGACCCTCTTCTTTCTCCAAGAAGGGACTTATTTTTCCTTTGGATCATTTGATACTGTTGACACAAATGAAGAATAAATACCCAATGGGTCTCCACCATTGTTAGGAGCATTCCCAGAACCACATTTCTCCTTGTAGTTCTGGGTAAGCAGGTGGATGTCAGGTCACCTTCAGGAAACTGGACCTCAGGAGAGAAGGATGAGGTTTTCAGAGCTCATGAAAAACAAGTAGGAGTGAAATCTAAGCTTCATTTCAAAGCCTGTGCCCCTCCCACCACACCCATCAACACTGCAATTCCCGTCAGCCTTCAAACAGAAAAGTGGCTGGTGCTTGCTACCTACACGCAAAGTGTGTGGTTGAGAGAGAGAAAGAGAGAGACAAGGGGAGGGGGGTATCCTAGAGCTGAGAACAGGGGAGAGGGTGGTATGAAAAAGGCCTGTTCCTTCCCTGTTCCCCTTTCCTCACACCTGCCCAGCAGCCTCGTCCATCCACAGAATAACTACCATTTGTAAAATGCTTATTCTGCACTTCAAATCAATTAAGTACTTGAGAAATTTAACTCCTTCCATACAAACAACCCTCTGAGGTTGTGCCTATAATTAAGCTTTCCCATTTTACATAAGAGCAACAGGGGAAACTGAGGGTTACCGACGTTATACCCAGGGTCCCACCCACCCCATGTGGGCCTAACTGGACCTTTCAGACTCCGAATGATCACCCCGTCCCTGGGGCCCTCTCCTCCTTCAGTGGCCCCCAACACCTTTCTGGTTCTCCTAATCCCATGTCTACCCAGCTCATCTTGCCACTCGGTCCCCTTTGACTGTTCACAGACAAAGACCTCTTAAATCCAAACTGACTTTAATGGGAATAAAACTTACCCCCCCCCCAAAATTATATATATATATGTATATATTTGGTAAAGAACAATGAAGGGGGAGGGGTCCAGACACAGCTCAGTGTCCCCCTTTACTTCCATACAAGCCTCTCAAACCACACCTCCTCTGACCAAATACCCTTTTCTACAGTTCTGCTCTGGCAGCTATCCCTTCCTTTGGTGGGGATGACTTAGAGGTGCTGGCCTCCCCCAGCCCCCATCCCTGAGCCCCTTTGTGACTCTGTCCCACTTCCATGACTTCTTGGGACAGATCATCCTTGCCTGGACCCCCCTTGCACCCCGCTCTCTGCACACAGGCCCCCTGGTTCGTGCTGGCTCTAACAGGTTCCTTTGATCCCACGCCCCTTCCCCATGGTCCTCCTATCAGCAACCTCAGCTTCGCCCTATTTCTCACGTGGAACCCTCTGACTTGGCCCCAGTCCTGTCAGTCCCTACTCCAGGAAGCCCACAATCCCAGCTCCCCGAGGCCCCACTTTTCTGGACCTGGCTGTACAGGGCAGTGTCTGAGCTATGGCCTTGGCTGCCACCGCCAGTTGCAGCACCAGATTCAGGTAAGGCCCGGCCCTGGGGCTTGGGAGCTGGGAAGGGCTTTGTGCTCCGAGGGGGTGGCACAGCATAGTCATCAGTGGCAGGGTTGTAGGGGAGCTCATAGCCCTCCTCTTTCACCCGAGCCTGGCACCACCATGCATCCTTGGGCTCCTGAGGCAGATCATAAAGGCCCCGGAGAGTGGCTGGGGCCAGGCCCTCAGGTTCATCATAAATGGGGTCTTCTTTAGGGTCTGTCAACTTGGCCTTTATCAGCTTTTGCTGCACATGCTCACACAAGTCCCAGTAGAGAGCTTTCTTTAACTGTGTCCCCTCGCCTGTGTGCGCAGGGGTGCTGTCCACGGGGTCTGAGTATAGGGAATCTTGGCCCAGGCCTGGAGGAACGCGCAGGGAGTCTAAGGGTTCCGCATACAGGGCTGGAGGGCTGCCTGGGAGCTCCAGGGGGGCCGCGGGGGAAGCCAGCTTCCCGTCTGCCACTTCTCCTTCATGGGAATCAGCTCTGAGAACATCCTGCCCCTGGCCAGCCTTCCCCTGAGTCTTCTGTCGGTGGATAGCAGTCTCGACTGCCTGAAAGATGTCATTTCCCTGTGCCGTGTGAAAGGTGAAGGTTCCAGGGCCGGAGGGACAGCGGCGGCCAGCCTCAAAAGAGAACATGACCTGAAGAGGATGTAGAGGGAAACATGTTACCAGGAGCCATCAGAGGAGGTGAGTCACAGGGCTAGAACTAGGTAGGGGACCTACAAAGAAGAGAGCACTGGAAAGGGGGGTGGGTCATGGTCTAGGCAAGAGAAAGTTATCTAGAGTGCAGTCTCCCACCTTCCTGTCCACCCCTCCCACAGGCGCCCAGCCCAGGGAGCCAGTCCTGTCTTGACAGCACCGTACCTTGTCACGGCCATAGCGACGCAACAGAGTGTAGGGCCAGGAAAGGAGTGGCTCCAATATCTGACTCTGGGCCCCCGCGGCCAGAAGAGTCAGCTTGTCCGCCTCCACTCTCAGCACGTAGGAGCCGTGCAGGCCACAGCGCTCAGCGGCCTCAGTCTTCTGCACCGTCACCCAGAACTGGGATCCTGGAAGGAATACACAATTAGACTGGGACCTGGCCAGGACTGGGGTGGGGGAAGGGAGCAGACTGTACACACACACACACACACACACACACACACTTGAAAGCTAGCTCTCAGGCTATTCCTACTTCCCCTCCTAGGACACCCTTTCTTTCCACCCCTTCCCTGCTGGGGTTTTTCAGGCCATCTACCTTCCCAGGAGGGGCTATACAGCGAGTTCTCCAGCATCTCCAGGGCAGAAAGCTTGGGTGGGTTCTCGGCAGGTGCCAGGGCCCAGCTGCCTTTCTGGGGTAAAGAGAAGGAGCATGAAGGAGGCTGTGATTCCCTCACCGCGATTCCCAGGGTCTGAGCCAGCCCAGTTCCTCTGCCGCTGTAACTGCTCCCACCCCGCCTCGCCTCCTGGGCCCTGTGGCGCCCCAGGCCCCTCACCGGAAAGGCGTTTTGGCACAGCGTTTGCACCCAGGCTGCACTGGACGGCGCGTCGGCCGCCAGCAAGTGGGATCGCTGTGCGGTGTCCAGGCGAAAAGCTGCGGCGCCAGGCTCAGGGGGGCTCTCCACCGCCACGGGGGCCACGCTCACACACTCTGCCAGCCGGATCACCTTGCAGTCCAGGCGGCGCGAGCTCCCTCGGCCACCTCCAGAGCTCGACCCCTTGTGGTCAAAGAACTCGAGCCGCGCGACACCGTGGGGACTGGCCGGGTAGAGAACCGCCCAGGTCTTCCTCCATCTCTGGGGAGAGAGCCGAGAGACGCTGGGGAGGGAGCGGACAAGCACCGGCTGCCCGGCCCCGACGGGGGAAGGAAAGACCCGAGCGGGCCGATTTCAAGACTAAGGCTTCACGACCGCTGGCGAAGTTTCCCCAGGAGGATGCCCCTCTGTCTCCCCAGGGCTAGAGAGGCATACCCGGAGGCCGGCGGACGCTCCTCCGAAGAATGTGCAAAGCATTTTAGAGGGAACGTCACAGGGCTCTCCGGTCCCGGCGCCGCTCCCCTACCGGCCGCGCACCCCCTCCCTCCGTTTGGGCTCAGTCGCCCACCCCTAGCTCTGATGGGGTTCGGCAACCCCTGCCCACACTACCTTGGTCCCGAAACGCTGACTCTGCAAAAACAGCGGCCCTTCCATCACGGCCCCGTCCATGGCCCCCGGCGGTTCCTTCCGCGCTTCCTGGCCCGGCGGGCCCGGAGGCGGGGCGGGGCGGGGCGGGGCGGGGTTCGCGGGAGGCGTTCCCACCCCTCCCCAACCTCCGAGAACCGAGAAAGGGGAGGAAGATCGGCCAGAGGAAGGGGAAGGGGAAGGGGTACCACCTCCAGACCCCCACCCCCAGCCCTAGGTCTCGCACTAGTAGCTTCTCCGAGAGAAACCCCGTGACTTCGGTCAGAGCACTCTGGCTCTTAGGCTTGGGGGCTGCGTACAACGTCAGATGCTCAACGTGACATCAGAGTGAAGGCCGTGACATCATCTCGAAAATGCCTACGGGCACCCTGGGGCATTGGAGGGACTTTCTGAGCCTTCGAGGCTTCAGTTCCCCGGACCTGACCCGACCCCTGCTCCGCGGGAGATGGGCTATTTACAGTCCGCAGACCCGGGGACGTGGGGGAAGGGCTGGGGCCGGGGACTGAAGACTTCCCGGAGCTCGGAGCCGAGTCGCCGCACGGGGCGCAGCCCGGGGTAATCTGCGGCCCCGGGGCCTCCTGTGTGTCCAGCTCTCTGACCGCAGCTGCCCGGCACCCAACCCGCGGGAAAAAAGAGCTTTATTAAACAGGCTGGGAGGGGCGAGGAGGGGGGCGGGAGGGAGATTGAGCGGCGGCAGCGGCCCGCTCCAAGGAGGAGGGGAGAAGAGGAGGGAACTGGCCTGGGAGGGATCCTGGGAGAAGGCGGAATGTGGGAGGGCTCAAGGGGACGTGGGAGGAACGAGGCGCGGGGGGGGGAGGGGGGGCGGGGGAGAAAGAGGGGCAGTCTCCCAAGTACTTTTTTTTGGAAGTCCTAGGATTGATCTACAGGACCAAGACTCTTCTCCCAGCCGCTAGGGTCCCCGTTCAGCCAAAGGTAGGGGGAGTCACGCTCCCGGTGGGAGGAAGGAGAGCTGTAGATGGAGAGGATGGTGGAGGGACCTGGGGAAAAGGGTGATGAAGGATAGAATCAAAGGAAAGCCAAGCTACTTAGAGTTGTATAGTCAAAGAAGACACAAGAAGAGTGGAGAAAGGAAGCAGATACTGGGGAGTGGGGGCTACAGGGTGTTCCACATAGGGCATCCGAAGTGCCCGAAGGCTAGGGGCTCCTCTGTGAGGCCCTCTCCCTGGGTCCCCAAGCCAAAATGTCCCCAAACAAAGCTTCCCTGTTGTGTTGTTTGTCTGAGTTGGGGGAAGCATGGGGGGTGGGGGGTAGGGGGAGCTCGCTGTAAATGAGCTGTTCTCCCGACAGAGCGAAGGCCTTAGCTGAGAAGCCGACTAGTGCTCTTGCCTCCTGTTGCCCGGGAAAGAGATGGCTGTGTTGGCAGGAGGCTTGGACAACCCCACCCACCCCACCCCCACCTTGAGGCCTGGCCCTTCTGGGCCCCTTGACCCTTCAGGGCATGTAGGATGTGTACCAAGTTCTCCAATGCATTCTGGTTTTCTGCCTTTTCTCCCTGGAATCTGCCCAGAAAGGACTCTCAGCTTGATTCCCATTTAGGGGACCTGAGACCTGAGGGTGCCCTAAACCCCTTCTTGCCTGCCTCTTTCCACAATCAGTAACTATCTGTCCTCTCTCTGACTGGCTGAACAGGATCATCTGGGTCCCTCCTGTCTCTGTCCCTTGGCTTTTGTCAGTCCCTCACCTCCTTTTTGCCTTTTCTTACTGTTCGTGGGGTTCTCAAGGCAAGAATACTGAGTTTCAGCAAGCTCCGGGAGTTGGTGATGGATAGGAAAGCCTGGCGTGCTGCAGTCTGTGGGATCGCAAAGACTGAGCGACTGAACTGAACTGAACTCCTTACTCATTGCCTGCCTTTCTCAGTTGCTCCCCAATTCTGTGTGCCAGACTCTCTCCTGATCCCCTTCTGTCCATTTTTCAACACACTCTCTCTCTCTCCACTGTGTTTGGTCCCCTTTTATTCTCACAGTTTCCCTTCCCCTCACATCCTGTCTGGGTCTCCCTGTCTGTGTCTCCTGCTCAGTCTCAACCTATTTATCTTGATGGGCCTCTGATCTTGGTCTCTAATCTCTGTCTTTTGATCACTGGGTCTCCTTGACCCGTGAGTTGGGATATAGAGGTGATGATAGCAGAACCAGGGAAAGGATATTATGAGACATAACAACTAATAGTGAGCATTTATTCTTTACAGAAGGGAGGGAGAGCCTCCTCTCTCTCTCTCCCCCCCACCCCTCCAATCTGGGTGTCTCAGTCTGTGCCTCTGTTACTCTGTATTTCTCTTCTTATCTAGTGTGTATTTCCTTCTGTCTCTCTTAGCCCCTAGGTCCCTCCCTTTCTGTCCACTGGCTCTCTGTCTCTGGTCTTGACTGGTGTCTCTTCCTCCCATGACCTCTCTCTCAGACCTGGGCTTCTCAATTTCAGCTTCTCTCCCTCTGGGGCGCCCAGGCCTTCCCTGCCATGCGACCTGTCGGTGTTTGGCGGTGGAGCCTGTGGGGGCTGCTGCTGCGCCTGCTCTGCAGTCCGTGCCTGGGCTCTCCAACCCCATCCACGGCACCTGAGAAGAGGGCCGGGAGCCAAGGGCTGCGGTTTCGGCTGGCTGGTTTCCCCAGGAAGCCATCCGAGGGCCGCGTGGAGATACAGCGGGCTGGTGAATGGGGCACCATCTGCGATGATGACTTCACGCTGCAGGCTGCTCATGTCCTATGCCGGGAGCTGGGCTTCACAGAGGCCACAGGCTGGACCCACAGTGCCAAATATGGCCCTGGAACAGGTGAGCAGTGCTTCAGGCACAGCCTAGGTATTGCCAAAGTACAGCCTAAATGTAGGGAGAGGGGACAGCATGGGGACACAGAACACCAAGAACAGCCAGTGTCAAGTACACCCGCAGAGGATAAACCAGCCAACACATAGCTGTGTGATCAATGCCCTCTCTGAGCCTCAGATGCCCCTATGTGCAAAATGACTAGATGATCTGCAAGTTACTTTCTCCTGCAAAAGTATGATTCTACAGAGCCACATGCAAAGACAGCCCTGACACAGATGAGCCCTGTATGATTAAAGTACAGCTGGTTTCATGGGAAGCTGAGAGCAGGTAAATGATGTCTGGATGTCCCAAAGACAAAAGTGATCACATATACTGCAGCCAAAAAGATCAGATTATAGTTTAGAGCTGAAACCGACAAGCTGGGCTTCCAAAGACAAGTATAAATTTTAGGATAAGTATGATGTGGTTAGTAGGGACTTAGGAGCAATTCTGAGACCTGGGGGCACTTGCATTGTATAAACTCACAGTGGGATTGATAGAGCTCGTGCAATCTGCAGTTAACCCCCAATTCCCCCTGGTTAGACCACATCTGAAATAAAGTATCACTTTAGATGCCACGTTTTCAAACAGACAGTAGAAAATGGAAGTACTGGGCATTTCCTGGTGGTCTAGTAGTTAGGACTTTGCGCTTTCACTCCCGAGGGCACAGGTTTAATCCCTGAATAGGGAACTTAGGTTCCTGAAAATGGAAGTACTTTCAGAGGAGAGCTGCCAGATGTAAAAGATTGGAAGCCACGTTTCAAGGAGGAATAGCTGAAGAAACCAGGGATATATGATATGAAATGAAAAAGCTATGGATAATAATTACATGATGGTTGAATTCAAACATGAAGACCGTCATTTGACTGAGGGATTTTTCTGGGTGGCATCAAAGGACTGAACCAGACATGGAGTAGAGGAAAGTAATAAATTCAAGAATCTCAATAGTTTGTGATGGTTCCAACAGCGTAATGGGGTGAGAGGTAGGTATCCCAGCAGAAGCTGGGTAAGTCCTGTCAGGATATGCATGAGGGTTCCCTGCACGTGGCCCTTTTGAGGGGCCACCAGTTCTGAGAGAAAGTCAGTGATACTCATTTCAGTTTGGCCCAGGTCAAGAGAAGAACACGGGGCAACATGGCAGCACAGAGCAGTCACATGGGAGAATGTAAGGCTGAGGTGAAAGGATCTAGTCTCACAAATGGCTTAAATCCCTAAGCCCTCAGGCATTGGCTGTATGGTCCTAGGCAAGTTACTTCACTTCCCTGAACTTCAATTTCTTTATACAAGATGGTGATAATATCTAATGGAAGCTCTGTTCTAAGAATGATCACATATGTACATACCTTGGCAGAGTGCCTCACGCACACGAGGCGGCTGTCATTGAAAGGGTAAGGACTGATTAGAACTTCAGTGTTGACTCTTAGGTTTTTTTATTCACCCTACCAAATTCTTGGGTATCCCCAGAACACTATCAACCCTCCATCAATCCCATGCTCCCTTTCCTATTCCTTTCCAGGGTCCCCTGTCCCTTCCCTACACATTCTCTTGCCAGGTGTGAGGCTTCCATGCTCACTCTCACCAGCATCCCCATACTACCTCTCCAAGCCTCTCTACCCCCTTATCTCCCCTCCCACACAGGCCGCATCTGGCTGGACAACCTGAGCTGCAGTGGGACTGAGCAGAGTGTGACTGAATGTGCCTCCCGGGGTTGGGGGAACAGTGACTGTACCCACGATGAGGATGCTGGGGTCATCTGCAAGGACGAGCGCCTCCCTGGCTTCTCAGATTCCAATGTCATTGAGGTCTGTAGTTCATAAACACACACACACATACGTACATACCACCCAGGACGGCAAGACAGAAAGGGTTGTGGGGTGGTTATATGTGGAGATACTAGAATGGAGAGGATCCCATGTGCCCAATGGGATAATTGGGGTTGGTGGGAAACTGGGGAGGTGGCAAAACGATAGAGCTCTGAGACACTATATAGTCCAGGTTTACTTTAGCGTCAGCATTCAAGTTTACTAAGCCTGGCATGAACCTCTCCGACTTCATCCCCGGTCCCCAGGGCACCTGTGCTCTCTCTCAGCTCAGATATTCCTGAGGGAACCTTTCACTCTTACTTTCTCCTACTTCTTCAGTTTGCTACTTCCTCTGTGAAGTGTTCCCTCAGGCTCCAAGCAGAGTTAGCTGCTCCTTCCCCAGCTTCTTCTGGACCCTTTCTCAGAGCACAGCAAG